AAACCTAATAAAGTTAAAGTAGTAATCAATAACAAAAACAGAAAATCACTTTTGAAGCCATGAATGGAAAAGAGCAGGAAGGCCATGTGAAGACACAGGGAGGAAGCAGCTATCTACAAGCCAAGGAGAGATCTCAGAAGAAACCAACCCTGCCAACACCTTGGTCTTGTTGGACTTTCAGCCTCTGAACTGTGAGAAAGTGTGGCCTGGGGGGACGACTCGTGCCTGTAATCCCAACCCTCTGGAAGGGTGAGGCTCAATAATTGCTTGAACTCAGGAGGTGGAGGTTGAAGTGAGCCGAGATGGCAACCCTGCACTCCAGCCTGGGTGAAAGAGGGAGACTATGTCTCAAAAACAAAACAAAAACAAACAAAAAGAACTGCATGCAAGAAAGTAAATTTCTGTTATTTAATTTAAAAAATAAACGAATACAATGCAAATATTGGTACCTTAAAAATCAGTGAGCTTAATAAGATTTACAAGGTTAAAAGATACAAATCATCAATATCAAATCACTACACACCCCACAGGTATTGAAAAGATAACAAGGGACTACTGTAAGTGCCTCTATGCACATAAATTTAACAGCACTTAGATAAAATGGACCAATTCCAGAAAAAAATCACAAACTACCAAAATTTAAGTTGAAATAAATCACGTGACAAGTTCTAGACCTGTTAAATAATTTGATTTCATAGCTTAAACCCTTCTGAAAAAATAAACCTCCATGCCCAGATGCTTTCACTCAGGAAAACTACCAAACATTCATAGAAGAAATAACACCAATTCTGCATAATCTTTTCTGGAAAATCAAAGTGGAGGGAACACTTTCCAACTCATTTTATGAAACCAGCATCATCCTGATGCCAAAACTAGACAGAAATACTCCAAAAACCCCACCTACCAACCAATTTCTATTATAAACACAGATACCAAAATATTCTTAAAATTAATCAATAGAATGCAGCAATACCTAAAGAGAGGGATACACTGCCACCAAGTTCGGGTTTATCCTGGATTTGCAAGCCTGTTTTGAATCTATTAATGTAATTAACCATACGAAGAGTTGAAAGAAGAAAATTACAAGATCATATCAACTCACATAGAAAAGCATTTAACAAAATTCCATATCCATTCATGATAAGGGAAACACTCTTATAAGATTAGGAACGGAGGGGAACTTCAATTTGCGGATGGGTAGCTAAAGAGAATCTACAGCTAACATCTTATTTAATGGTGGAAAACTGAATGTTCATTTTTCCCCTAGCCCCTGCAAAGATCTGTAACAAGACAAGAATGTCTACTTTCACTGCTCTTACTCAACATCATATTGAATGTCCTAACCAGTGCAAATTACGAAAATGTGAATTAAAACCACAAGGGGATAACATGACACACTTATTAGTATGTCTGAAACAGTGACAATATCAACTGTACGTGATGCCACAGAGCCACTGGAACTCTCATACATTGTTGGTGGTGATGCAAAACAGTATGACCTCTTTGAAAAACAGTTTGAGAGCTCCCTATGAAATTAAATATAAACTTAGCCTATAGCCTGGCAATCCTCCTTTTAGGAATCTATGCAAGAGAAATGAAAACATATGTTCATGTCAAAACTGGCACATGAATGTTTGTGGCAGCATTATTCGTGATCACCAAAATCTGGAAACATCCCAAATGTCTCTCAGTGGCTGGATGGGTAAATATAGAACGTGTATATAAAACATTATCGGCAGTAAAGAGGAATGGACTATAATCACTCTCAAAAGCATCGGCCGGGCGCGGTGGCTCAAGCCTGTAATCCCAGCACTTTGGGAGGCCGAGGTGGGTGGATCACGAGGTCGAGAGATTGAGACCATCCTGGTTGACATGGTGAAACCCCTTCTCTACTTAAAATACAAAAAATTAGCTGGGCATGGTGGCGCGTGCCTGTAATCCCAGCTACTCAGGAGGCTGAGGCAGGAGAATCGCCTGAACCCAGGAGGCAGAGGTTGCGGTGAGCCGGGATCGCGCCATTGCACTCCAGCCTGGGTAACAAGAGCGAAACTCCGTCTCAAAAAAAAAAAAAAAAAAAAAAAAAAAAGCATCACGCTGAGTGCAAATAAGCAAGTCTCAAAAGGTTCCACTCTGTTGACTCCGTTCTCAAAAAGACAAAATTAGTTATGCAGGACAGATCAGTGTTTGCCAGAAGTGAAGACTGGCTGGACAGTGTGACTGTCAATGAATAGCATGAAGAAATATTGGGGATGATGAAATCATTTTGTTGTTTTCTCTTGAGATGGAGTTTTACTCCATTGCTCAGGCTGGAGTGCAATGGCACGATCTCGGCTCACTGCAACCTCCGCCTCCCAGGTTCAAGCAATTCTCCTGCCTCAGCCTCCTGACTAGCTGGGATTACAGGTGTCTGCCACCACGCCTGGCTAACATTTGTATTTTTAGTAGAGATGGAGTTTCACCGTGTTGGCCAGGCTGGTCTCAAACTCCTGACCTCAAGTGATCTGCCTGCCTCGGCCTCCCAAAGTGCTGGGATTACAGGCGTAAGCTATCACACTTGGCCCATTTTGTATTTTGATTGTTGTGGGGGTGATGGTGGTTAAACAAATATATATATCCATTAAATCTCATCAAAATATACAAAAAAATTAATTTTACAATATAATTTTAAAATTAAATTAATGGGAAAAATATTTGATTAGATCTTTAAGATATTGGTACATGCAAAGATTTCACAATTCGGACTGCCAAAGTACTATATATCCATGAAAAGATGGACAAATGGGATTTCCTAAAAATTAAATACTCTTGCTTATCCAAAAAAAAAAAAGAGTGACAAGTAGGAAAAGCAGCACAATTTAAAGGACTCATATCCAGAACAAGGAACCAAAAATATATATATATATATGTATATAGATTTATATATATATATGTATATATATATACATTTGTATATATATATACATATACATATTTATATCTTCAGATACACATATATATATATCGCTACATATATATACGAAGAAAAAGCCCATTTTTTATTTTTAAATGAGCAGGGATCAGAACAAGCATTTCATGAAAGATATTCAAATTGCCAGTAAACATAGGAAAAGGTGCTCAATATTATTATTAGGGAAATGCAAATTAAAATACAAAAATATAAGAAAATATCACCTCAAAGAGATTACAATAATTAAAATTGAAAAAGCAACAGGAGATATATTCACACATAGAATTTAGTCATCCATTGGTGTCCAAGGGAAACTGAATATTTAAGTCTGTTTTTTTGGGGTTTTTTTTGTTTTTTTTTTGTTGTTGTTGTTGTTGTTATTGTTGTTTTCTGAGATGGGGTCTTGCTTTGTTGCCCAGGCTGGAGTGCAGTGGTGCAATCTCACCTCACTGCAACCTCCACCTCCTGGGTTCAACTGATTCTCCTGCCTCAGCCTCCCAGGTGGCTGGGATTACAGGCATGTGCCACCACACCCTGCTATTTTTTGTTTGTTTGTTTTTAGTAGAGACAGGGTTTCACCATGTTGGCCAGGCTGGTCTTGAGCTCCGACCTCAAGCGAGGACGCTCAGGTCTTGAAGCTGGCCTTGCAGAAGCTGCAGATACAAAAAATTGATCCTCTGCAGTTGCAGATCCTGCATATCCCAAAAATAGTGTTGCATTTTCCATCTGTAGTTGGTTGAATCTGCAGCTGCAGAACCAGTGGATATAGAAAGCTGACTGGATGATATGAAAAGCAAAAACAATAAATACCAAAACGAAAAATGAGCTATTGATACACGTAACAGCATGGATAAACCAGGAAAACCATACTGAAGAAATGAAGCCAGACTCTAAAGCATATATAATGTTTGATTCCAGTTATATGGTGCACAAAACCTGAAAATACAAATCTATACGGACAGAAGAGAGAACGGTGGGACCCACGATGGAGGCTTTGTACTGGGAAGGGCACAGAGACCCATTTGTGGGGAGGCTGGGAAGAATCTACATGTTGAGGCTGGGTGGTGGAAGCAAGAGGGTGTACATATGTAAAAGTTAATCTAGTTGTACTCTTTATTGGCTTATGTATTTTAAGAGAGAGGGTCTCGCTCTGTTGCCCAGGCTGGAGTGCAGTGGCGCAACCATAGCTCACGGCAGCCTGGACCTGCTGGGATCGGGTGATTCTCCCCCCTCGGCCTCCCAAGTAGCTGGAATTACCAGTGTGGGCTACCACGACTGGCCTAGTTGTACTGTTTACATTTGCATGTTTTCTTCTATTTAAATTATGCATCCTCAAAAAATGAATAAACACGACAGCCTTTGATGACAAAGAATAGATTAAGACATCTGACAAAGAATAGATTAAGACATTTTTTCTCTACAAACAGAGGCATTAAAGAGTAAAATCAATTATGTTGTATTGCTTCATAAAAGTTTTACTTATCTTATAATAACTGTATTATAAACAATCACAACGAGGTAGGGTTTCAAGTGGAAACCGAATGCTGTGTGTCCGTGCCTCCATGGATAGGGAAGGTGAGGAGACCAGAAACTCAAGTGTTAAGAAGGTGACTTTTGGTGGTCAGGCACCGAGGCTCATGCCTGTAATCCCAGCACTTTGGGAGGCCAAGGCGGTGGATTGCTTGAGGTCAGGAGTTCAAGATCAGCCTGGCCAACATGGTGAAACTCCAGCTCTACTAAAATAAAATGAAATAAAATAAAATAATCAGCCAGGTACAGTGGTGGGCACCTGTAATTCTAGCTACTAGGGAGGCTGAGGCAGGAGAACCGCTCGCACCCAGGAGGTGGAGGTCGCAGTGAATGGAAATGGCACCACTGCACTCCAGCCTGAGCAACAGAGCAACACTGTCTCAAACACACACACACACACGCACACGCATACGCACACGCACACACAGACACACACAGAGGTAACTTTTGGATACTGGGGTTATAAGACTGAAAGTTCGTTCCCTTCACAGAACTGGGGATGGAGAGGGAAGAGAAGGGTGGGTGGGGAGGGGATGGGGTGCAGGTGTGGTGGGGCAGGACTCACAGGCAGAGGGGGATAAGTAGATGGGGTATGGGGCAGGCAGGAAAACAGGGGTAGTCAGTGGGATGCAAGCTTCCAGAAGGAAGCTGACAGTGATGTCCTGCGTCTGTCCTGCAGGGCTGGGTGTTCACGCCTCGCTTCTGTCTTGAGCAGGAGGGGCTCAGTCCGGCCTCTCTGCCCTGCTCCCCTGGGGACCTCCACACCTGCGGAGCCAACACAGGCCTCACATCAGCGCCGGCCACTCCAGTTCTGATTCCAGGTGGGGCAGGTCAGCTTAGCCGCACCCGGCACTCAGGAGCTTCCTGGAGAGAAGCGGGCCTGCTTACCTGGTGTAGTAGATCCAGGTGAGGCCGTAGGTGAGGAGGAAGCCAGCCCCCATGAGAGCACCCCGGATCAGGGTGAGGACGAGGGGCCAGGAGCCGTCCTGTTTCTCAGGCACACACATGCAGGAAGAGGGGCTTCCTGGGAGAAAGGAGAAGAAGGTAAGACGCTGGTCCCAGGCCTCAGTCCCTCCCACCGACCTGAATACCTGATCCGGCCCTCCACCCTCAGCACCTGCCCTGCAACTCACTCTGCACAGAAAGGATGAAGGACAGCTGCTGGGAGCCCAGCGGGTGCCCAGCCCGACAGGTGAATTCCCCGCCATCTCCAGCCCCTATGTCAGGTAGCTCCAGGGTCCCAGCTACTGAGGTCTGGGAGGGATCCAGGGCTTTTCCCTCCCGGAACCAGCTCAGCGAGGCACGGGGGTTGCTGTCAACTGTGCAGACGAGGAACAGGGACTGGCCTTCCAGGATGGGCAGTGACATGCCAGTGCTCAGGATCTGCAGGGCTGGGAAAGAGATTCATGGCCCGCTCAGTGGAGCTGAGAGGCCCGATTCTCCCTGACTCCTCCCGCTGAGCTGCAAGAAGAAAGACCGGCCGAGCGCGGTGGCTCTCACCTGTAATCCCAGCACTTTGGGAGGCTGAGGCGGGCAGATCACCTGAGGTCGGGAGTTCGAGACCAACCTGACCAACATGGGGAAACCCTGTCTCTACTAAAAATACAAATTTAGCTGGGTGTGCTGGTGCATGCCTGTCATCCCAGCTACTCAGGAGGCTGAGGCAGGAGAATCACTTGAACCCGGGAGGCAGAGGTTGCAGTGGGCCGAGATCGCGCCGTTGCACTCCAGCCCGGGCAACAAGAGCAAAACTCCGTTTAAAAAAAAAAAAAAAAAAAAAAAAAAACCAAGACCATGTGGTGAGTGCTGTGAATGGACTAGCCATCGGCGAAGGGGTGAGGACTTGGTGATCAGGTCAGGCTATCAGAAAGAAGGGGCCTGAACGGAGAAAGGAGAGATGAGGCGTTCTCACATTAAGGAGAAGCGGATGGGCAGCTCAGGTGCAGATGTGCTGAGAACTGAGACAGCCTGGCAGACCAGGAGGAGGCTCCTGTCTCTGCAACCTGGCAGGGAGGACCCGGAGCTCCCAAGACACGATAATGGTGGTAGAGGAAGCAGACTCAGATCTTTTGGAGCCTTGGGTGCCAGGTTGAGGGCCTCGGGCTTTATCCTGGAAAGCGGTAGGGGGCTGTGAGTAGGGGACACAGAGTGAGCGCTGGACCTAGACAAATCCTGCTGGAGCCAAGAAGGTCCCCGAATGCAGGGAAGTGGGACGGGAGGAGGCTGGGGCAATGGGCCAGGTTGAGCACGAGACTCGAGCTGGGCCTGGAACCAAGGGGAAGAGGAGGGAAGTGATGGTGGGTGGAGTGAAGGTCTCAAGACTTGCGGACTCGCGGAGCAGCTGGTGGGAAAGGGCGCTGTCTAGAGCACGGTCCAGAACAGCCCGGGGATCTAGAGGGAAGGAGTAGCTGAGAGGCGTCCGAGGGAGGCAGCTAAATGTGCGGATCTGTGCCTCAGAGAAAGGGCTGGATGTAAAGTCGCGGGAGGCATCAGGACAGCGTCAAGGAGAGATTGGATCACGCAGGAATGTGGAGGGCGAACAGGGCTCCGGGGCAGAGCTCTGGGAGGTGAGAACGTTGAAGGCTCCCACCAAGGACGATCAGATAGAGACGAAGCAGGGCGTGCATCAGAGGACTTGCGGGCAGGCAGTCATTCAAGAAAAGGGAACAGTGTGTCCTCACTACTTGAACTCACAGAGACAGAAATTAAAATGCTGGGTGCCTGGTGGCAAGAGGGGGAAGTGGAAAGTTGCTGTTTAATGGGTGCAGAGTTTCACTTTTGCAAGATAAAGAGAGCTCTGCAGTTTGGTTTGCAACAATGTAACAGACTTAACACTGCTGAACTGCACTCTCTAAAATGGCTAAGATGACAAATTCTGTGCTACGCGTATTTTATCACAATGAAAAATATAAATTTGAGAAGCAGAGCGGAGAAAAGGGAGAAGCCAAAAGCAGTACTAGGTCTGTTCATGCAAGATCTTGGTGACTGGGATTGGGGGGTTCGGGACAGAGGGCTGAGGGAGGGTCTCCTCTCCCACTGCTGAACCCTGAGCTTATAGAAGGCGCCCATCACAGCCCCAGAGGGAAGAGGGTCTTTCCTACCTGTGCCTGTGCCATTTCTGAAAAAGATGCGGATGGCGAGGTTCTGTGGAGCATCTGGGTAGAAAGACACAGCCCCAGCTTCAGAGGTGACGAGTGGGACTGGCGTGGGCCCGGGAGGTACACAAAGAGGGGCCCAATAGGTGGGGACGGCTGTCCTTCCTGCCCACACACCAGTTTTCCCAGGTTATCCTTCTCTCTCTTCTACATGCACACACACACATGCACACACACACATGCGCACACACACACACACGCACACACACACATGCGCACACACATGCACACAGACACACACGCACGCACACACCCCACACACCACACACCACACACACATGCGCACACACACACATGCACACGCACACACACACACACATGCACACACACACCACACACGCCCCTCACTCCCACTGCCCTTGGGGACCCAGCTGTGTCCCCACCACCACTCACAGGAGACATTGAGCTGGACAGTTCTCTGCGTGGTCACCTCAGCTCCAGTCACCTCAGCTCCTCGGAGTTTCACCTGACAGGTGAGGTTGGTGCCGTGGTCCTTGGGCCTCGGAGTGAAGGTAAGCACCGGGGAGCGGGTGGTCTCGGGGCGCAGGAGGCTGAGGGCATCGCCCGTCCAGGAGAATGTGAGAGGCCGTCCCGCTTCGCAGGATCCTGGAAGGCTGCAGTTCAGCCTCGTGGGGCGGCCGGACTCCAGGGGCTCCAGAAAGTGGATGTCGGGTTTCAGGGCTGAGGAGGAGACAGGGAGACGCCTGGGCCCCAGGGCGTGGGGACGCACGGTGTGGCCCTGACAGTGGCCAGGCCTCAGGCCCCGAGCTGCCCCGAGTCCTGCGCCTCCTCCAACCGCCCCTGCCCAAGTCCCGTCCCTGTTCTCATTCGGGGTCTCCACGTCCAGGATCTTCTCCTAGGGCCCCTCCATACCTGTCACCTCCAAGTTCAGCTTATTCTCTTCGTAGGTATATCTTGCCTTTCCTCTCTCCATGCGGAATAAATAGTTTCCCGTGTCCTCCATTCTGGCACCTTCTATTTTCAGGGAGCAGACATTCTTCCGGACGTCCCCAAGGAGATGGAACCGGCCCCGGGTCTCTTGCTTCGTAGTTCTGTGTGGGTGGTTTGTCGCCACAGGAGCACCATGGTATACGTTCTCCCCCTCCCGGAACCAGTAGACGTAGAGTGGATGATAGGAATTCGAGGAGTCCCCCGGGTAAGAGAAGGAGCAGGGCACCAGGACGCACAGGCCCTCCTGCACCGTCGCCGACTTCTGCACTCGCAGCTCATACCCTGCCTTGTCCTGCAGGGACCCTGGGGGGACACAGAGGCTCAGCTTCGGCTCCAGCCCCCTCCTCACCCCCGTGGCTGTTCCTCCTCCCTCAGCTCACTCACCCCCCCACAGCAGGGCCAGCAGCAGCAGGGGCAGCATGTCTGCCTCCGCCGGGGCCCCAGCTGGGTCCCAGACCCCTCTGTCAGGGAACGAAACGCCCCAAATGTCCAAATGTGGGGTGGGGCTGAGAAAGCCCCAACAGGAAGCCGGTGGTTGAGTGAGAGCTGTGGTCATTCCCAGAAGGGGAACTTGAGCACCACGTGCTGTCGGGTGAAGCAGAGGCTGGGAAACCATCCTCCTCCCACCCCCACTGGACACCACAGGTGAAGATACGGAGGTCCCCAGAGCGGCTTGTCCAGACTTGTAAGTCTAGACTCCTGAGGACCCAAGTCCCTTAGCTGGAGCACTTTCCTTGTGCACTTTCCTGTTGTCTACACAGGAAGGAGAACGCCCCCTGGCCAGTTCCCTGGGAGTCAGGGCCTCTAGACCCCCAGAGAGATGGGAGAATAAATTCTTTATGACATGGTAGGTGCGGTGGTAAGGGTAGCACAGGCTGGGGGTTTCAGGTGGGGAAGAGTTTCCTCCTTCCAGAGGGAAGCCAAGTTCTCAGGGACAAACACGTCAGGTGGACATGACCGGGTCCTTTGGTTCCCACCACCCCTTGGATTTGGGTCCCTGATCTCACCACTGTCCCTGTCCCAGGCAGCGTCACACCCCAGCCCTGGTGCTGACAGCCAGGTGAGGCACGTGAGCCAGGCACTTGAAATTCAGAAGTTGAGGACATGCAATGCCCAGTGTGGAGCCAGACCCATCACCTACCAGCTGTTGGACTTTACAAAAGTTACCTACCCTCTCTGTGCCTCAGTGTGCTTAGCTGAAAAATACAGACCAGACTAGAGTTGCTGTGTGGGGATTCAGTGAGGTCTCCTGTGTAAAGTGCTTAGGACAGTGCCTGGCCCTGAGAACTCACCCATTCAACCGATGCTTCAGGGGTCCCTGTGGTGCACCAGGCCCCCTGTTTTAGGAGCTGGAGATACAGCAAAGGATACATTCTTCGATTGAGAAGGTAAGTCGAAAATCCTAGTGGGGACTCCTCTGGGCACAATGCCCAGGGCACCCCTGCTCCGCGAAGAGCAGTTAAAAAAAAAAAAAAGAAAGAAAAAGAAAATAATAAAAATCCTAGTGGGAAGACAGACATTTAATATGAAATTAAAATACACAGTCTGCTGAAGAATGATATAGTCTAAGGAAAAAAAAAAAAAAAAACAGGCACACAGAAGAGGAATCATTGGGCCTGATAAAATGTTTTACGACATGGCTTGGGGGGCACTTGGAAGAGACGACATTTGAGCAAAGATGCGAAGGGCATGTGGGGATGAGTCCACTGGTATCTGGGCAAAGGCGGGTCCAATCCAAGGGAATGGTACGTTTAAAAGTCCCAAGCTAGAAACACACGTGGTGTGCTTGGAAAACAGCCACATGGCAGCATGCAGAAGTGATCAGTGGGGAACGTGGGAGGAGGGAAGGTCTGGGAGGTGTCCTGGGTCTGATCATGAAGAGATGTGGGAGCTGTCAAAAGAACTTCACTTTTCTCTTGTCCAGCTAGGCCCAGGAGGCTGTCAAAGAAAGGAAGAAGAAGGTTCCTGCTGGGCCAGAAACCCTTAAGAAAAAGTTAAGGCATTTCACAGGGCTGAAGATCATGCACCTGAGAAGGAAGTTTGCCCAAAAGATGTTTCGACAGACAAGGAGGAAGCGTATCTCGGAAAAAGCTAAGCGCTATCCCAGGGAATACAGGCAGATGCACAGAACTGAAATTTGAAAGCGGGGATGGCAAGAAAAGCTGGCAGGGTCTATGCACCTGCAGAACCCAGACTGGCCTTTGTCATCAGGATCAGGTTTCAATGGTGTGAGCCTAGAGGCCCAAAAGCTGTTGCAGCTGCTCCTTCGTCGACTCTCCAATAGGACCTTTGTGAGGCTCAACAAAGGATCAATTAACATGCTCTGAGGAGGGCAGAACCACATATACGTGGGGGCCCCAAACCTGAAGTCAGTACATGAACTAATCCACAAGTGTGGTTATGACAAAATCAATCAGAAGCAAATTGCTTTGACAGATAAGGCTTTGAATGTTTGATAAATATGTAAATATAGCATCATCTGCCAGGATGATCTGATTCATGAGATCTGTGCTGCTGGAAAATGCTTTGAAGAAGCAAATAACTTTCTGTGGCCCTTCAGATTATGCTCTCCACAAGGAAGAATGAGGAAAGAGACCACCCATTTTGTAGAAGGCGGAGATGCTGGCAACAGGGAGGACCCGATCAACAGGCTTCTTAGAAGAATAAACTAAGGTGTCTACCACGATGACTTTTCTAATCTGGTCGGTTACTAAGCAGTACCCGCTTTCAAACAAACAAAAACTTGACTTCTGCTGAGTGTATCCGCCAGGGTTCTCCAGAAAAACAGAACCAGTTGTGGGGTGTGTGTGCTGTTGTGGGGGCTGAGTGGGTGTGGGTGTGGGTGTGGGTGTATTTATTAAAAGAAATTGGCTCAAACAATTATGGAAGCAGACAAGTCCCAAGATCCTCAGTTAGCAAGCTGGAGACCTGGGAGAGCTGAAACTGTAGCTCCGGTCCACAAGCTTCCAGCCTGGAGATCCAGGAAGAGCCGAAGTTTCAGCTCAAGTCCAAAGGCAGGAGGACACTCAGGGCCAGGCTTGCAGGTAGCGAGGCAAAAGGAGTTCCCCTTCCTCATAGGATGGCCAGCCTCTTTGCTCTAGCCAGGCCTTCGACTGACTGGTCAAGGCTCACCCATCCTGAGGAGGACAACTTGCTTTACTCAAAGTCTACTGATTTGTTTATTTTTTTAAAAAATGTTTTTGAGATGGCATTTCACTCTTGTTGCCCAGGCTGGCGTGCAATGGCGCAATCTCGGCTTACCGCAACTTCTGCCTCCCGGGTTCAAGCCATTCTCCTGTCTCGGCCTTCCGAGTAGCTGGGACTACAGGCGCATGTCACCACGCCCAGCTAATGTTTTGTATTTTTAGTAGAGATGAGGCTTCACAGTGTTAGCCAGGATGGTCTCGATCTCTTGACCTCGTGATCTGCCCGCCTCAGCCTCCCAAAGTGCATTACAGGTGTAAGCCACCACACCCAGCCAAGTCTACTGATTTACATGTTAATCTCATCCCCAAAACACCCTCACAGGAACACTCAGAACAGTATTTGAGCAAATGCCAGGACACTGTATGGCCCTGTCAAGTGGAGACTTAAAATTAACCATGACACTGAGCAAAGTGTGATGACAAGGGTTGAACAGAGAAGGGGCAGGATTTTGTTTGTTTTTACCTGATCACTCTGCTTGCTTTCCTGAGACCAGACTCTGCTGAGCTGTTGCAATGCTTGGGATGTGAGAGGAGGGTGCTCAGGTCTGCCAGGACGCAGTGGAGGCGGTGAGAAGAGGGGGAGTTAACGGTATTTGTCAACAGATCAGACACACATGGGAAGAGAGGGAACAGGGCCACAGATAATGCCAGTGTTTTCCACCCAAGCAGCTGCAGGCTTGAAGCTGCCATTGCCAGAAGAGGAACAGACTTGAAGAGAAGAATCGGGAGCTCCACTTGGGACGTGTCGGGTTAGATGAGCTTATTAGACACACAAGTGGAGAGAAAAGGAAAGGGTTAGATCTGTGGGTCTGGAATTCGGGAAAAAGTTCTGGCTGGAGAGAAAAGTGGAGTCATTCATGTTCAGAGAGTGTCTGCAGCTGTGAGCCTGAGCGACATCACAAAGGGCATGAGAGTACGTATGCATGTATGTACGTATGTATGTACGTATGCATGTATGTATGCATGCATGTACATATGTATGTACTGGTGTGTGTATGTATGTACGTATGCATGTACTTGTGTATACGTATGTACATGTGTGTGTGTATGTATGTACATACGTGCATACATATGTATTTAAGACAGGCTCTAGCTGTCACCCAGGCTGGAGTGCATGGTGCAGTCATAGCTCACTGCGGCCTCAACTTCCCAGGCTCAAGTGAGACTCACCTCAGTCACTTGAGTAGCTGGGACTACAAGTGCACACCACCATGCCTGGCTAATTTTTTTTTAAAGTAAAGATGAAGGTTCCACTATGTGACACAGGCTAGTCTCGAACTCCTAGGCTCCAGTGATCCTCCTGCCTCAGCCTCCCAAAGTGCTGGGATTACAGCTGTGAGCCACCATGCCCGGCCAGGGCATGAGTTTAAGTGAAAAAGGGACAGACACCATCTCCAGGGCTTCTGTGATCTGGATATCAGACTCACTTTCCCACTGAAAATAACTAAAAATACAGGGAAGATAATTAATGCACATCTTAAAACCATGGAAGTTCTGATGAGAGAGAAGAATTTTCAGTCAAAACTGTAAGAGATGGCAGGAACCAAGAGACGGAACCAGAGCACCAAAGTCACACGTGTCCTTCAGGAATTCTGAATGTGGAGAACTTGAATTTGGGGTTTCCTGGACCTGAGGATCAGAGTCAGACTACGCACCAGGTGGAGGGGAAGGTACAGGGTTCGTGGTCACACTCTTTCTGCACACCCCCAGGCTCTGTCCAGGGGAATGAAAGTCGAGTGCAGAAAACCCCACTCTCCCTCCCACCCTCTGGCTGCTGCCCCAGTCAGTGACAAAGAGGCCAGAAGCCTCTCTAGGCTGGAGGAGACCCTGCCCTGGAATTACCTCATTCTCAAAAAAAAAAAAAAAAAAGGCATTTCCTCCTGGATCCAGCACAGCGCATTCTAGACTTCCTGTCTCACCTGAAATGAACGGAGAGAAGCTGAGAATCACTGTGAAGGCTATAACCAGACACAGGCCCCCTCAAAGACTGATATTTAATCACAGCATGTTTCCTAATGAATTGCAAAGCTATGCAGACCGTAATTCCTAGAACCTGTGAATGTCACCTTCCATGGCAAAAGAGACTTTGATGGTTTAATTAAGGATCTCAAGATGGGGAGATCCATTTGAATTACCTAAGTGGAACTTAAATGGAACTGCAGGGGTGCCTAAAAGACAGGCAGAGGGAGATGTGATACAAAAGAGGAGAAGACCAAATGATGATGGAAGCAGAGATCGGAGTGACGGAGGGAGGGGCCGTAGCCACGGAGCACACGAGACCTCTTGAAAAGGGCTAG